GAAAAAAGAAAGAAAAAGAAAATTGTCACTTAAATAAAAGAAGACTGAGTGACGACTGAATGCACACATTTCACTTTGATCCTTTTGCTTTATTAAAATCACTTCTTAACTAATGAGCACCCAAAAATGTATCTCAATCAAGTTCACAGAATACAGAGAAAAAAGGATTATCTTCGTGTTCCGTCTTCGAAGAATATACCGCCGTCCAATGCACAGTATTTCGGACAGATACCTCGTTCGCCCTGTGGTCCTGGTTGACCAGCGGCTCCGGCTTCACCATTAGCACCAGGGCTTCCAGGTGGTCCTGGTGGCCCTGGTGGTCCACTTGGTCCAGGACTTCCTGGTTGTCCATCTCGTCCTGGACTTCCATCAGGTCCAGGTAAACCTGGCGGTCCTGAAATTCATTTTCAATCATTTTACTGCAAAAAGAATTTTTTTTTCATCCCTGATATTTCTGAATTCAGCTTTTCTTTATAACAATGGAGAAAAAATATACGAAAATTTGCAAATGGTCAAAGCATGCCTGGTTCGCCTGGTTGGCCCGGATCGCCTGGAAGTACTGGTGTACTTGATGCCGGCCTTCCTGGTTCTCCCCTTTCGCCGTCAGCTCCAGGCTGTCCTGGTGGTCCTGGTGGTCCCACAGGTCCCGGTGGTCCAGCACTGCCTGAACAAATAATTTTTTTACTATTGAACTTGATGAAGCACATTGTATTACGCATTTCGCATTTTCCCATGCCATTTACACAACACACTTTTGCTGCAAAAAATACTGTAACGCAAATAAATCTGTTTCAATTGAAAAAATTTTATTTCAAACATCAATTGCTTACTTCATGTTCACAAAATTGAAAAATATAAAAAAAGTAAGCCAACCAAAACCATACCACTGTTTCCTGGCCTGCCTGGTGGTCCAGGTCTTCCAGGATTTCCTGGAATACCACTAGGTCCTGGTGGTCCTGGTGGTCCCGGTGGGCAAGGATTGCATGGTGGAATATCAACCTCTTCGCAAACTATTGGTGGTCGCCCAGGTGCACCTGAAAATTAAAAGTAGTATATTTAAGTGATTTTAAAAAATTAAAAGTAGTATGGTAATTTTAAGAAATCAAAAGTGATTTTCAAATATAGTTGTTGAAAATTGCAAAGATTTCTGCGTAAATATTGTCAAAATAAATATGGAAAATAATGTGATAAATTATCTGTTTGATATCAAAAAAATATTGTACCAGGCCGTCCTGGGGCTCCCGGTGTGCCTGGTTTTCCATTTGTTCCTGGTGGTCCTGGTCGTCCAGGATGTCCAGGTATACAACAACCTGTAAGCGTAGTGAATAAATGCACTGAGTACATATATTAAGTTATTTTAATAATTGGAATTGTATGAAAATCTTGAAATTGCCAATTTTTTAGGAATAAAACAAAACAGCCTTATAATAAAAGTGATAGGAATTGGAAGCCTGATTGATGAACAGCGCAAAAACCTACTGTCACAGGCTCCAATTTGCCTTTTTGTTCTGTTGGTTGCAGCAACAGCAAAAGTAACCGGTTGTTTCTTGGCTACTTCCGACATAATATCTCTTGCTGAGGACTATAAAATTAGAAACATTTTAAACTTTCTATTCAAAAAATGGTTTTAAAAAAATGTCCTTTTCATTTATTAAAATATCAAAAATGTTATATTAAAAAACGGTCAGCAATATTATCAACCGGTAGCTGAAGGGAATCGGAAGACATTGAATGAAAGGATAGATATTAAAAACCAGAATTTCTTTCGAGAAGCAAATAAAAAGTATTAGGTTTTTTTTTTTTACAAAGTTTCATAAATATTTTAAGGAAGAAAAGGAATTTCCTCGCAGTAAGTTAAGTGAATGTTAAAATACGCACATGCATTTCAATTCGTATTTAACAAATGATAAAAATAATGTAAGGCTAAATTATAATGGACGTTTTATAATTTGAATATTTCTTTTAATGATAGCAATTACTTTAATCATTTTGATTTGAACAAATATGGAATAATGAAAATTAAAAATTGATGGCTTGAAATTTAGTCATTTTTTTTCTTCTTCCGTTAATGAATAATGAAAGAAAGCGAAAGGATATTTGCGATATTTGGAAAATTGAAATTTTTATGCAATAGAAAGGAAAGAAGAAAAGAAAAAAAACGGATATTAAAAAGAAAAAGGAAAAAAAGGCAAAAGAATTTGAAGAATTCAATGGATGCGTCAAATATGATGATTTATTAGCAGTAATTTGTTAAAAATTATAATAAAAGAACCATTTTATATAAAAGAAAATATGCCATTGGCTCATTATGCTTGGATTAAGATCCAATCGATGAGCTTCAAAAATATTCGTCCAGAACATTTGATAGATCTTTATAAACAAATTATCGAATGATATGATCCGCAAGAGGTCATATAAAATTGTCACAACTTAGTTAAGTATAATTAGTAACAGTGATGATGGCAATAATTCATACTTTGCAAAATTGAAGATCCTTCCGTGTCTGTTGCTGTATATGATCAACAAAACTATAGACGATAGGCATAGTGATACATACTGATAAGATGGATATCAGAGAGAAGGTAACAGCTGCATAGGCAACCGCCTTGTATGCGCGCTCTCTTTGCTCCTCCATTTTTCATCCATCGTAATGACGAGCCGAGTGTCCTTTTATACTGTCCGGGAACACTGGTTCTCGGTCGCCGTCGTGGAACGCATATACATGCAAAAAATTGTTGTGCACCTCTTGTCATCCTTTGGTCCTTTTCCCTCCTCTGCTTTTTATTTTCATCAACCGTATCCCTTATCGGTACCTCATTCCAATCCCTCTGATAATTCTTCTGTTTGATTTGATTTAATTTAATCTCTAAAATATCTTCCAATGTATACTTTCATCTTCGTTCTACTTCCTATCCTTTACAATAACATCTCATTCATTCTCTGTCCTTTATTATTTAATCATTAACAGTTATTCATTATTTCATTTCGATTTCAGTATGTTTGTAAGTGATTATTGCTGCAGTAAATACACACATCCACCCATACACACACACACACACACACACACACACACACACACACACACACACACACACACACACACACACACACACACACACACACACTACACACACACACACACAC